TCCCTGACAACTCTTTTGAGCAAGAAAGGTTTTGTTTGGTCTGTTGAAGCAACTGAAGCCTTCCTGGAACTGAAACAAGTGATGACTACTACACCAGTGCTCGCTTTACGAAATTTCTCACTCCCATTCTATGTAGAGACGGATGCTTGTGACACTGGGATCAGGGCTGTTCTCTTGTAGCAAGGTCACCCAATTGCGTTTCTCAGTCGCGCGCTCGGGGTCAATAACAAGAAGTTGTCGGTGTATGAAAAAGAGTTTCTCGCAGTGATGACGGCGATCGACCGTTGACGACCATATCTTGAGCGAGGTCAATTCACCATATTAACGGATCATAAAAGTCTCTGTACACTAGGGGAACAACATCTTGGCTCGGAGCTTCAATGGAAAGCAATGTCAAAACTGGGAGGTCCTCAGTTTAAGTTCAAATATCGCAAGGGCATCGATAACACGGCCGCAGATTCTTTGTCACGTGTTGGGCATTTGTTCACTGTCATAGCCACATCAATGTGTCAACCTTCATGGATTCAGGAAGTGTGCAATTCTTACCGCACTTACGCCAAGGCAACGGAGCTTTTGCAGGCGTTGACAATTTGCAGCCCAGACACTCATGGCCATGAACTAGACAGAGGCATGATTAAGTACAAAGGACGCCTCTGGATTGGGTATAATGCAGCATTACAAACTAAACTGATCAGTGAGCTACATACAGCTGCGGTGGGAGGTCATTCAGGTATCCGTCCAACTTATTTGCGACTGAAGAATTTGTTCTTTTGGCCTGGCATGAAACTACAATTTGAGGAGTTTGTCAAGCAGTGCAGTGTATGTTAGCAAGCTAAACACGAACATGCACATCCTTCGGGCACATTACAACGCTTGCCGATACCTGTTCGAGCCTGGGGCGAAGTAACGATGGATTTTACTGAAGGGTTGCCGTGTTCAGAAGGGGCTGATGTGATTCTGGTGGTAGTGGATTGATTAACTAAATATTCACACTTCATTCCACTCCATCACCCATTCACACCTCTTCAGGTTGCTCGTGCATTCCTCGACAACATTGTCAAATTGCATAGTGTTCCAGAATCAATCGTTTCTGACCGGGATAAGATCTTCACGAGTGCATTTTGGAGGGAACTGTTTGCGCTCGTCGGCACCAAGCTTCTTTACACTACCGCCTACCATCCACAGACGGATGGCCAGAGCGAAAGGGTGAATCAATGTCTTGAGCATTCTCTACGTTGTGCTGTTCACGACACACCGTGTCGGTGGAAAAGATGGTTACCAATGGCAGAATTCTGGTACAACTCGAGTCATCACAGTGCGATCGGGTGCTCGCCGTTCAAAGCTTTATATGGAGTGGATCCGAACTTTGATGCCCTGCCTAATCTATTCAACAGAACGACTCCAGCATCACTGCATGAGCTGGCCGCAGAGCACCAACAGTTCACTGAAATGCTAAAAAAACACCTACTGCATGCACAACACAGAATGGAACATCAGGATGATCGCAAACGCATAGAGAGGGAGTTCAGTGTTGGTGATCAAGTGCTATTCAAACTTCAACCGTATGTATAATCCTCGATGGTCAACCGGCCTTGTCCCAAACTGGCATACAAATTCTATGGCCCGTACAAAGTCACCAGCCGCATTGGAACTGTTGCGTACAAGTTGGAGCTGCCCTAGGAGAGTAAAATTCACCCAGTTTTTCATGTTTCGCAGCTTAAACCCTTCACGACAGACTACTCGCCAGTCTTCAATCAACTGCCCGCTCCACCGGACCTCACTGTCGGCGATCTGGTTCCTTAGGCGATTCTGGAGCGCCGCCTCGTCAAGCAAGGGAACGCGGCGATTCCTCAAGTCCTGGTGCACTGGCGCACGCTTTCGCCGGCCAGCGCAACTTGGGAGAACTACCATGTGCTTCAAGAGCGATTTCCGGGCGTCGACCTCGGCGAGGGCGCTTCGACTCAAGGAGGGGACAATGTCACGCCCTACTCTCCACCCGATCAGGCAGGAGAGCATGCGGACAGCAAGGCACCAGAGGTGCAGCCGTGGGAGGAGGAAGATCAGGGCCCACGGGCAGAGAGCATGGAAAGTCCTTGGTAGGTTAGTGTCTATGTCAGGTGGGGCATGTTCCACATAGTGCTATAAGGGTGGGCGACAACAGAGACTGGGTCATGCCTTGTAATCGAATATTTAGAATTCTCCATCTATCTACTTTCTCCGGTTCCTCCCCTTTCTTCTTCCTCAAGCTCATCCCCACTCTGATTTCCTCTCCTCCCCTCTGTTCGATCCGTGAGGGTCGTTACACGGAGCTGTGGAACTTGGGCGAGTGGCGAAGGAGACTACGGCAGAGGCACTTAACTGCATATTGAAGCAACTGTTTATGGGTGAAGCGTTAAAGTACGAAGGCCGATTTCTGTTCCCTGCAACGGAGCTGAAAGAAGATCCAAGGAGGTTGCACAAACTGCTACTACGCCATCTTGCACAGCAATTAAAACAGTGCAATGCAATGCAATGCTCTTCAGTAGAGTACTATCTTTTCTGAACTTGATTTATGCAAAATGCGAATCATGATTGAGGAGGTGTGAAACGTGTTTGCCCCTCTTGCTAGAAAGCATCCCGGTTAGTTTCAAAAAAAAGAAAAGAAAAAAGAAAGCATCCCGGTTTGCACTGTGATTACCACCACATCCTTCTGCCCTAGCTCCTCTGGCGTGGATCTGCCGGTGTGGGGTTGGGGACCGGTGGTGCTGGGATCTGATCCCCTGGCGTCGCCCTGGGGTGGCAGCGCGAGGGGGTCGGGAGTACACAGTGTCGTTTACACACATCCCAAAGAGAAACATGAGTGTAGATGATTGTTTGACGCACCTGATCAGGCAACAAACTCGCTCACATCAGAATGTCCGTTGGAAACATAGGATTTTTTTTCAAACGCAGTCCCTTAAGGCCCGATTCATTAAAAAAGGTCGAACAGAATTGCCTAGTTAATTAGCGAAAAACCGGACTAAAACCGTTACAACATGCACGCCAAAATAGGGCGACCTACCAACCCACACAAGAACGCACACACGCCGTCAAGGAGAGAACGCCGTCGAGGTTGAATTCGATGCCATTGTCATCACACCTCCGCGAGGGCGACTCTGACTCCACCATCAACAACCACCGATGTAGCCCTCACCACAAACAAGCGTCGATGCCTGCGTCGGTCGATGCCAAACAGTCAACCGCACGCGATGGCCACCAGGCAGCTCCGACTCTATCAACGAGCATTGCAGGAGAAAGGCCATGTGCCTGCGCTGAGCCAACGCCGGAACCGACCACCTGTCTTGTGTCATCGTCGCTGCAAGGGCCCCTCCTCAGCAGCTTCGACTCCAGAAAGACAAAGTGAGGCACGGCGACTCCTCGAACACGTCGGATGAGACCGACTACCAACACACAGCAGCAAACCAACTATGCTCGAAGCCACCATCGTTGCCACAAGAAGCCGCGCAGAACATCCACATCACTAACCAGGCACATGCTGATCGCAATGCCGCGACCGTCTAGCCCATGGAGCGTCTAGCCCAAGGAGCCACCAATCCTCGTCGCCGGCCAGAGATGCCGACGAGCCGAATCTAGCTAGATCCGGCAACCCATGACCGTCGCACCGCCACAAACCTGCCCAACCGGCAGCCTCCCGAGATGCCGCTGGCAGGAAGGCGCAGCTAACGCGGAGCACACCACCAGAGCACCTAAAGGAGCCGCTGGGGAGCGCCATGGAGCCATCAGGTTGCCGGGAGCCATGCCACGGCCAGATCCAGCAACCTGCAAACCACTGGCCGACACCATAGAGCAGGACGGAGAGGGCTGCCACCCCACATCAACGCGCCGGGCAGGAGCCATTGGACCAAGGGCCCTGACCCTGCCAGCGAAACCACCGCGGCCGCCAACCGCCGGAGGCCCTACAGGGAGCCAAGCCGCTTCGCAGACAACAGGATGGGGCGAGCCTCCCCCACCCAAGATCCAGAAACAAGAGAAGATCCCCGTCGCCGCAGTCCGCCGCCCGAGCTTAGCCCGGCGGCCTCCTCCGGAGATGGCGAGGGGGCAGGGCCGAAGGAGGGAGTGGTGGCACCACTCGATCTGGTCTCCGCCCATGTCGCCAGTGGAGGCGACGCGGGGGACGGGAGGAAGTCGTGGTTTCTTTTACATAGGAAAAAAATATCAAATGAACAGGAGATCGAGAGAGAAACCCAACGGCGCAGTCAGGACTAAATCGAGATCCCCTATAGTGGGCATTCCTGACACGAAGCGGCTAGAAAGAGATATTTGGCAGGCAGGCGGACGCGTGGCTCACCTCTATTGGCCGTCGGCTGCGAGGCGGTAGCCGCGTGCTGCTGGTTATGCCCAGTGGCCATCCGTGCGTGTTGTTCTGGCTCCGTTAAAAGACATGGAGAACCGGCGACGTGCTTCTGGCAAGCTCCTCTTTTTACTCTGGTCAAGGCGGCATCACGTGGGCATGGGGTCGAGCGGAGCGGAGGAGCAGTTATCGATGAATCAATGGGGAGGCGTGCGTGTGGCGCTCTGATAGGGAATTTTGGAGGGGAGGAATTGATATGGAGGGATTAGCGTAATTGGTGGGATTAGTGGGACTCAACCGGTGGAATATTCCTCTGCGGGTGGAGTGCATTCAGTCATATTAAATTGCTAATGGCTAATCTAGCGTGCTAATCAGGCTGGGTACATTTTCAGGGTGGCTTTAAGAAAGAAATAGCTTTGTGTGTGTGTGTTTAGAACTTTACCCAATGCAGGTGGGTACCCCTCCCCCTCCCATCGATCAATGCACACAACCACACGAGTCATTCTTGTTGCGTCAAAACACTTGAATTTATTATAGTAATGTACAGATCGATCTTTATATCAATATGTTCCCATACTATCATCACTCTTTCTAGACATAAACACTACCTCATATTTCACATCCCTTGGCGATCCATTTTCAGATGTTTTTTTGTCCATAGCATACGTCTCTAATCCCGTAAGAACTCATTTGCTTCGAGATATGACACAACTTGATCAGCCATCGGTTTAGGCGTGGCGCAGTCACCAGCTTTGCACTGTATCACTATCTGCAAGGAGCAGTTAAAGGGCTCACTCAGCGAAATGAATACCCATCATTATTGAACTAGGAACCTCTTAAGACCAGCTGGTAATAATACAACTATGTTGGTTTTGATAACATTTGGGTGTTCAAATATTTGCGCGTGCTAACCTCGCAGTCAGAAGGTGGTTCATAAGGATCATCAATTCCAGTAAACCCTGCGGATGATTTACAAAGTAAGATTTGCAAAACATAGTACAAATGGTGGTCAGTTGGTTCTTTTACCTTTGATTTTTCCTGCACGGGCAAGCTTGTACAAGCCTTTTGGATCCCTAGCTTCACAAACTTCAAGTGAGACATTAAAAAACACCTACAGAAAATACACTTTTCTATGCCGGTTACCTTGATAATAAGATCGACCACACGGTTTGGAAGAACTCTACAGTGTGTGAAAATATACCTCAAAGAATGCAGAATTGTGCAGTAATTTACGGCAAGCGCTGCGTTCACTTCTGTAGGGTGATATCAAGCTGGCAATGCAGATCAGACCAGCATCTGCAAACAGCTTTGCTACTTCTCCTGAAAAGTTGGACATGAACACACTTAGAAATGGTATAACTACAAGGCAAAAAACGACCACAATACTGGGATTTCTGAACGGACAAAACATACCTACTCTGCGTATATTTTCAGCACGGTCCTTTGCTTCGAAACAGAGGTCTCGGTTTAACCCATGCCTTAGATTGTCACCGTCTAGAATCAGTAGAATGTAGGTCAGATGACCTCTTGAGTGCAGCTCGCGACTTAGCGCGCATGCTAGTGTGCTTTTCCCTGAAGTATATGTTGAGATCTTACAAATATAATAGAGGCTCCACAGTTTAGTGTATGACTATGCTGGCTTGATAAATACCTGAACCACTTAACCCTGTTATCCACACAACACAACCCTTCTGATTTAGCAGTTTCTGCTGCTCAAACTGGCCTATTGGACAGTCATGCCAAAGAATGTTTGTCGATTTCCCAATAGTTGAGGTCACAAGCTTGTCGATACCTGGTAATTTCAGGCTTGTAAGGTGAGGATCTTGAAAGGATAAATCTTGTATTGTATAATGCTGCCAAAGATAATCACATTTGGGTATAGTGTTGCAGGATTGTGATTTCTCATAACTGAAGATCTAAGAAAGGTGCTGATTCATGCACTCTGCTATGATTGATTCCATAAAGAGAAGAAGAGTGCTAAAGCTTGTAAAACAGGAGACATGATAAAACTGTAAATGTTTGGTTGCATGGACATGTCATTGAGGGTGAGCATCCCATTTCAGGGTCCCAGTTCCAGACACTATCAGCAAACTATTATTTTGTCAGCACCAACCAGTCCACACAGAACCATGTGATGTCTTAATAGTATATCAAGTTTTCCATTTTCTTCTTGAAGTTCTCTATGTTAGTATCATCAAACTATGGTTTTGTCAGCATCAACCGTTCCTCGCAGCACCATGTGCTGTTTAAAAAAAAACTTGAGACATGTTCGAAAAATGACAGGGGTTATTTGTCTTAGTTTTATACCAGCGAGCAGCATTTTTGAACTGCATTAAAATTCCAAGCAAACCCCTGTCATCTAAAAAAAAAACTTTTTTGGCTCCCTTTTTGCAAACCCCACGGAGAAACTGTTACACTATGTATAGTCAGAGGATTACTGACAAGCCAAACTCAGCTGCTATTCTGTCATACTTACCCAAATCGTTCTCATCCGTACATAGCTTACCGAAAAAGGGTTTCCCCCCGCTTTATATTATAAAGCAAACATCACCGAGTACATTCGAGATACCGAACAACGCACACACCGCACACACCCAAGGCAAGATACAAAGGTACCAGGCACCGACACACCACCCCACCGACTACCAATAGAGAGGTGAATCGGACCAAAACGAAGCCAGGCCTCCAAAGCGGTGCCTCCAAGAAGGATACGACCATGGGTAGTCGTCACCGCCTGATCAGCGAAGATCAGGTTTTCACCCGGAGCAAGACGACAAGAGTGTGAATGCCGCGGCGGAGCCTTCAGGAAGGGTACGGCGGCAACGGCCACCGCCACCGTCGGCCAGTCAAAGGACTGGACAAGTGGTGTACCCCGGCACTCACACCCCACCGATGAACCTTAACTCCGTCATCCGCCCGCAACCACGCCACCCCCGCGGCCATGTTTGCCTGCCCGCACCAGAGACGCACACTCCGCCCACGAACGTCGCGCCTCCCGCCGCTAGAGCCGTCGCCCTGCAACCAGACAACCCCGAGACCTACACAAAGGCCCCAACTTTGGACCAACCGATGGCCCTCGACCGACGGAACCACCTGCAGACGCTCCGCTGGTAAACCTGTGCCAACGCGCCCACGCCCGAGGAAAGGGGGAGAAAGGGGAGCGGACGAATCCGGACCGGCAAACCGTGCCGGCGATAGGTGACGCGACCGCATCGAGGCCACCCATCCCTCCAACCAAGCTCCCCGCCGAACACGGGGAAAGGGGGAGGAGGAGGAGCGGACGCATCCGGACCGGCAAACCGTGCCGGCGACAGGTGGCGCGACCGCATCGAGGCCACCTATCCCTCCTACCAAGCTCCCCCGCGAGCACCCCATGTCGCCCCACCATGGTAGCTGACACACATCTCCGCGAGGCCATCGGCAACCGCGAGCCCGCCGACGAGGGAGACCAAATCAACCCGTAGCTGCAGCCATGGAAGCTCACCGGAGATGCCTCCTCGCGCCGTCCGTCGACGTCCGAGCGCCAGACCAGGAAGGATCTGACGCAGACTCGACCAACACACCCCGCCAGCCACCACCACTGCGCCGCCACCCCCACCAGCCCGAAGCCAGGGCAGGGGCGGCCGCCCACAGATCCTTGTCGCCCGCGACCCGCACCACCGCAGCGCCAAGCCAGGAGCCGGCCCAGGCCACCGGAGCCCGCCACCGACGCCCTGCCTCGTCACACCCGCTGCCACGTCAGATCCGCCCGCCGCCATGACCGCCCGCACTAGCCGCTCGCCGCCCCCGCCGCTCCAACGCACCGGCGCGTCCTCCGACGCCCAGCCTGTCGCGCCACCGGCACGAGCAGCGCCATCACCACGCCGCCGCGCCGCAGCGCCGCCTCGCCCTGGGACAGCGAGGCACCCCGATCCAGCCGCGTCGGCCCGCGCCAAGGCCGCTGGGAGGGGGGACGAGGAGGCCTCGCCGCCGCCGGCGCCGGCCAGGCTTCGCCCGGCCGCGCCCTCTGGCGGCGGCGAGGGACGAGGAGGGGGCGGAGAAGGGAGCTGGCGGCGGCGCGGTAGGGTTCCTCCCGTCGCCTCGCGGGGGGCGAGCGGGAGGGAGAGCTTTGGTCACTCTTTTTCGTATTGTTGTATTGCCGTACATAGCTTTCGTCCAGGTTGTTGCTCATAATAAAATGAATTGAATCAGAGACCAAGTTGGTGGGGTTGGTTTTGAGGATTGGGAATCCACAAATATGTTAATGCACCATGCTTTGCACATGGTGAGAAATATATCTGAAAAATCAGCTAGGGACACATAAAATGGATTGAATGATTTTCCTATTCCCTGAACAGAAAAGGATTGAATGATAATCCCTCTGTTTTTTTTTTACTTTGCATGTAAGCTTTGTCAGCGGGTCAAATTTCACAAAGTTTGACCAAAATTATAGAAAAATGTCATTAGATGCATCATGTAATTTGTGAAATTTGACCAAGATTATAGAAAAATGTCATTAGATGTTGCTATATTTTAATATAAACTTTGACTTAAAGCAAATCTTATATGCAGAGTAAAAAGAAACAGAGGGAGTAGTTGTAAGCATCGAATTTCCATGTTATTTCTTCACTGCCAGCAATTATTTGGAAGCAGTCATTTATGATTCAAGTAACAAAAAATCAGGTAGAAAAACAAATTTCAGCACCCGTGATCCATGCACTAGTTTTACAATAATGGAAGTTTGCGTGGCATATTTTTTTACTTTGGGAATAGAAATGATTTTAGTTACTTGTACTGGAAATTTTAACTTTTGAATGCTAACAATTCGTATGATGGCGGTTATCTTGTGTCGTACCATTCTTGGGGGGCGTCATTTTGGTGATGTGCATAGACTCGAGGGACCAATGGATGGCTTCTGCGGTGGAGCGGTGTTCCCTGTGACGCATCAACGACGTGGAGTCTCCGCGGCGTGGCGCTACAGGGTCTCGGCGACGACTGCGTAATGATGGACGCGCGTAGGGAGGTGGTGTTATCTGACACCGTAGTGACGTGAACTACAGGCCCGGCAAGGTCGATGCATCAATACCTGCTCTGAAGATGTATTGATAGAAGACGGTGGCGACAGCTACTACAACGTGCGCATGCAGTGTCTGCTCGGAGTGCGCCGGACCGGTGTGTCACCGGATTCGGCAATTCGGCTTGGTTGGAGCCTCCAGGTTTAGATGTTGGGCTTTGATGTGATGTTTGGGTATGCGGCCCTGACAATCTGCACATTTCATCAACTAGCTAGGAGTAGGACAGTTGTTGATGGTGGCTTTGGACTTATTGACGTATTACTTTTGTAAGGCCTTGATGAATAATTAATAAAAATGGATGGATGCATCACTCTAGGGACATCCTCCTTTAGAAAAACTAGTTCATATGATTTTTAACTTTTACTTTATGTTATGAGAAGAAGAACAGAAGAAGAAGGCTCACAACATTTTTCTAGTTCCGTTTGATTTTCTAGTTTCTATCCAAAACCATATATACTTCTCTAGGAAATAGACACTATATAGAAAAGATGGCATTTTGGTTATACAACACAACACAATACTACTAGAAGATTTCTCCCGGCGTTGTCAAAAGGAGATGTATTAACAAATGCAATATGTTTAAATGGTAGTTAACTGCAACGAGAAGGAAGAAGACTCGCAATCAATTACTAAGTCACCTGCCATGGCTGATCCATTGACGGGCTGCTTCCCGGCAGCCACAGCCACCACCGGCACGGCTTCTGACCCCGTCATCCTCTCCCCTGCGTCCGCCGCCACGAGCCTGCCACCGGCTCCTCCCCTCCTCGGACCTCCGGCGACGCCGGCGGACCACAGCCTCGCCGCTGGCGCGCCATGGCGGCCAGTGCCGGAGCACGGCCGAGGAACAGCCTTCGCTAGCATGGTGCGTTCCGCGTGGTACTAGGTGACAGATGTGTGCTATACACACATGCCTACCGTTGTGGCAGAGATTTGACAAGAAGGGGGGCTGCGAGATGATTTGCAATTTTGTACTATGGAACGTAAACGTCTATATATAGCAGATTCTTTTTTTAACACAGTACAGACTCAAACGCTCATAAACGCGCATACACTCATCCCTATAAACGTACACACGCACATCCTACCCCTACGAGCACCTCCGAAAGACCGAGCCAGCACATCATCTTGAAATTTATGAAGTTACCGTAGGCACCTCGTCGTCGACGGGAACGTCTCCTCTCATTGAATGCACATCGCCAGAAATCCTGAAATAAATCCAGAAATAAATGCGAGCACCAGGACTTGAACACTGGTGGGCTGAAGATACCACAGTCCGTCTAACCATCCAATCACAGGTTGGTTGAGTAAATTGCATAAAACTATCAAATTCCGGGTTAGGGTCACGTAGAACTATCTTTTTTTTTGCCATATGTCTACCACAAATTTGGTTTTTGTATTAAAAAACATTGATGATCATTTTGATTAAATCTGACCCGGATTATGACAGTCGTGGCCCACTCGCCACGGCTGACATGGCGTAAAAAGTTGACTCCGTTAAGTTATATGTTTATGATAGGTAGGGCTCACTTATCTTTTTACACAAAAGAAAAAACCACAGAGAGAAAAACACCCTCACCGTTGTTGTCTGGCTTCCTGACCGAGAACATTTTTTTTGAGCATCAATACAGACACAAGCATATCATCTTGAGATTTACGAAGCCACCGTAGGCGCCTCGTCGTCGACGGGAACGTCTCCTCCCACTGAAAGCATATCGCCGGAAATCCTGAAATAAATTCAGGAATAATGCGAGCACCAGGATTTGAACCCTGGTGGGTTGGGGATACCACTGTCCACCTAACCATCTCAACCACAGGTTGGTTCGCGACCGAGAACATTTGGAAGGAACCTAACCGTCCAATTTTTCAAGGGTATCCGTCTTACATGCATTGAGATGGCGTCTCTTGCCTTCGAAGACATATTAATCTCAATTAGCCCCCTCAACTTTTCCTAAGACTCATTTAGCTCTCTTAATTCTTGCTAAAGCTTCAACGCTGCTTAAAACTTGGCACCTCTTTACATGAACCCTCTATTCCGTCTAAATGAGAAGGCAGTGCTCGTGTCGGTTCCTTGATTTTTATTTTATTATTATTCTATGATCGATCATGATCTATTAACTCAATTTACATGCACGTTTTTTTTTGTGTGCTCTATGATATATGTAAGCTTACAATCAAGAAATTGGTATGCAAGTTTTGCTTGTGTATATAAATTAAGTGTGCATTTTTTCTACTCCACAAAAAAACAAGGTGATTCTCAAGAAAAAGTGTGCATTTTCCTTCATTTGAAAGGAGAAGTATCACAAGCTATAAAGCCAAGGCTCCTGAGTTCCATGGCTCCTTTCCCAAGTTCTCCCAGGACAAGATTTGGGAAGCCTTATATACGAGGAAAAAGCCATTAAGTGGACAGAAACTATTCCCCATGGAGGTGTTCCTTTCAAACTAATAGACCAGATTCAACGAACCTGAGTTCCAGTCGACGTATGCAGCTAGCTTATGTGTCGGTAAGTTCATCATTTTCCTCTACTTTGTAGGCTTTGTGAGCTCCCAGTCAGCAACCACATAACCACGTAGTACATGTCAAATGCCTGCCAGATGCTGCTCAACTCAAGAGCCACAATAGTTGGACACCTCAACCACAATTAGATAAAGCTTAGGGCACCAAATAAAGTAGGTGATATCTTGCTAGTTGTTGTGAAAGCTACATATATGCACAATGCCGTCAGTGATTAGCAAAATCGAGGATTTCTTCATTAACGCTAGTATTACTGCTTAACTACATCAGTTCTAGCAAGAAACCGTGAGCATATGGATCAAGTACCCATCAATCTATTATTGATGCAACTTTGGCAACCTATTGCGGCATACAAAATGGCAACTCATGATCCACTGCAGTAGTGCTACAAACACTTGTCATGGCCAAGTTTCACTTTCTGGCTGCCCAGGTCACTTGTGTTAGGAATAATCCTTTATGATTAACATAATAGGATCTTAAACTCGAGATTAGAACACCTCTTATGTAGAAAATTAGGGACTAACTTGACTGGCAGAAATCATTAGTGGGTAGCCCATGGCTGCACCTTTTGGGGTCTCGGCAGTTAAAATATGGCGGGGAAGAAGGGCAGGCAGTTAAAATATGGCGGGGGAAGAAGGGCAGCACGTAGATGGTGTGGACGTGTAGCAAGAGCGCCACCGGCACAGCCTTGCGGCAGCAGGCGGTGGAAACGGCCTTCTGAGTCCCCCTAACGGCCTATAAATACTTGTCATGGCCAAGTCGCACTTTCTGGCTGTTGCCCCAGGTCCCTTGTACACGTCGCTCGTACACGATTACTTTTCGTTGAGAACACACACATAGTTGCTAAACCGGCCGAGTACTTTCCAGCAGTACGCAAACTATATGGTACATAATACAGGGACTTGATTTCGCTGAGAGATACAAGCGCTTGATCGATTTCTCTTCAGGCTGGCTAGCACGTGAAGCTAGCTTGTACTAGTAGCTAAGGGTGTGTTTGGTGGGGTGCTTGGAGAGTGCATGAGGGTAAAAATTCTCAATCCGACCCATTTTTACTTGTTTAGTTGGATGCATGGGCTCACATGGGCTATGCTCAACTGATGCAAAAAAAAGGACCCTCAGCTATGCCCATCTCATGCACCCCGGAGAGAGGGTGCATCTAGGCAGCCATGCTGGCACCGACCTTCGTCCCCACCCACCAGACCACTTTCAGATATGTTTAAAATTTTAAAAATTGTTCATAATTTCAAATTTTCTTTAATTTTTCAAAAAATATCCAGAACTTAAATTTTGTTTAAATTTTTGAGAAGGTTTTGAATTTCAAAATTTGTTTAAATTTTCGAAAATATTCAGAGTTTCTAATTTTTTAAAATTTTCAAACAATCTTTAGAATTTCAAAACTTTTTAAAAATTTCAAGTTTCATTTAAATTTTCAAAAATGTTTAGAATTTCAAAAAATCAAAAAAGTTCAGAATTTCAAATTTTGTTTATTTTAAAAAATCGATTTTAAAAAAATAAAAAGTTCAGACTTTCAAAATATGTTTAAAATTTCAAAAAATGTTCAGAATTTTAAATTTTGTTTAAATTTTCAAAAAAATGTGTAGAACTTCAAAAAAATCTCAATAAAAGCTCAGAATTTCAAAATATGTTTAATTTTTTCATGTTTTTTCAATTTTGTTCACCATTTAAAATAATTATTTGGAATTCGAAATTGTTCTGCATGTCTAAACACATGCAGGCTGCCAAACAAAGTCTCAGCTCAGCATGTTTCATCGCATACACCGCTGTCAAACAACAACAAATGTATGGACTCAGCATGTCTACACTCAGCATGTATGATAGGAGAACAACTAGGCTAGGTCCATACATGCTACCAAACACACCCTAACTACACACACGTACACCGGAAGCCTTCATTGATAGATCTTGCTGGCTACGGAACTCACCTATACGCAATGCGGAGTCGCTCTCGTTAATCCCTTTATTATTGCTTTTTTCTGGTCTGGTACAAAATGGAGGGTCTTCGTTCTTCTAATTTAGCTGATGGATTTAGTTTTGGCATGATTTTATTCTTGGAATGGAAGTGATGGATTTGGTATTATTTTGTTTCTGAGCATGGGCCTGAGGTTTTGCCTGTTTAACTTGTATGGTCAAACCTGTGTGGATGACCTAGCCATGAAGATCTAGACAAATTTAAGACAAGAATTTTGACTGAGGTAATAATATATAGGGGTGCCTAGAACTCATCTAGTTAAGTTATATTATGGTCTCATAAGTTGATGTCATGTGTTAGTTGTCCCAGCCTGTTTATTGTTGTCCCTGGCCCGTTTACTGTTATAGTGGGCGTGTACAGGGGCGTGCAACTAATTGAGGAGCACTCCTCCCGGAGCCTCCCCAAGGGACTTGGGGTGGGCTGAGAGCGCGCCACTCAGCCGCCGCCGCCGCGTGTCGCGCTCTGGACGCTCTGTCCGGATTTTACTTTTTTATTTTTTCGCATGTGTTTTCCGCTTTTTAGATGGTTTTTTCTGGGTTTTTCGGCTTTTCATTGGTCTTTCTTAGTTTTTTGATAGAAAAAAATTGCGCAAATAAAAGTGTTTCCTTTTTCCTTTTTGCTTCAGCGAGAAGTATGGCCGCGCCTCACGGAAATGGAAAAAATGCGTTACTTTGTTTTGCTTCTGTGAGAGACATGATTTTTCTTCCACGAGAGGCACCGATTTGCTTCCACAAAAAGCATGGTTGTGCCTCTTGGAAACGGGAAAAAAACACGCTTTCTTTTTTTACCTTGCGCGAGAGGCATGGGCGTGCCTCTCGAAAACAGAAAAAAAAGGTTTTCTTTATTATTATTTTGTTTCCGCGAGAGGCACGTCCATGCCTCTCAGAAATGGGTTTTGAAAAGGACAAAAAATGTGCTTCAGGTGTGGTTTTTCCGTCTGATTTTTTTGTGAAAATAAAAGTTCATCAAAACCTATTAACATGGGGATCTAGTTTTGAAGATCTCAACGCGAGGATGTGGATAAACAGTTTAAGAGATAAAACATTTTAAATAAATGAATCTAAGAAAAAAAGGAAAAACTCCCAGTTGCGTGTGCCACTTGTCATGATTTTGGGAGAGTGATCTTTGAAAGAAGTACTTCTCAATTACAGATTTCATATAGGAGATTATCAAATTGTAATAATTTCCGCACAGCCTGTTTGGAATTTTGGGCCTGTTCACAAGTCGTTGGTGTTAAAAAATAGCTGGACCATTGGCAGACGCGGCGTTGTATCACATGGGTCATAAAAAATTGCCAAAAAAAACCGACACATGGGATCTCAAACTCACGATCACCCACTGCTGATTGCCCTAGAATGC